TTGGAGCAACCTGCTCTAGTGGAAGGTGTCCCTGCCCGGGGCAGGGGGTTGGAACTGGAGGAGCTTTAAGGTCCCTTCAACACAAATCATTCTATGATCCTCTGACTGCTTCTGCTCCTGAGGGGAAGCTCGAGACCAATTCCCAGAAGCAACCATAGAAATGAGCCTAAGTGATGACTGTGGCTATTCAGAGACGTGGTGGCAGAGGCCAGAGAACTCGGGTCTATCTGCCCCCCAAACCTCCTCTGTGGCCAAGAGGAGCACAAAGCATCCTCATGCTGAGCAAAATCCACTCCGCTGCTGTTCACCCCACTCTTGGCTACACCCATGGGTGATACGACCAGCACGAGCTGCACCTTGGAGGCACCAACTGATGCCACAAAGCCCCCTCCTGCAGCAGCCCTGGTCCCTGCGGGCACCCACCTTGCTGCTTGAGCCAGGCCCGCTCCTGAATGAAGCCCATGAAGGGGGCGATGCCAGTGCCTGGCCCGATCATGATGATGGGTGTGCTGGGTTTGAAGGGGAGGCGGAACTGTGACTTCCTCACGTACATGGGCACCAGGGAGCTGCTCCCGTCCTCGGCGGGCACCTTGCCCCTGAGCCAGCTCGTGGCCACCCCTTTGTTCACACGTCCCGTCTTGGTCTCGTACTCCACCGTCACGGCACAGATGTGGATGGAGTTGGGGTGGACCTGCAGGGAAGGGGTGTCAGTGCCAGGCAGGGGCAGCCTTCCAGCTCAGTGCCTTGTGCTCAGGGATGAGGAGTTCAACCCAACATCAGCGCTGGGACAGCTATTCACTGAAGGGGTCCCTCGGCAGCCGCAGCCCCTGCTGGCAGCGCACTCACCTTGGAGGAGGAGGCGATGGAGTAGTAGCGGGCTTGCAGGCGGGGCAGGAGCTCACACAAGTGGTCAATGGGGGGGCACAGCGAGGGCATGTCCTGCAGGATGGCCAGGATGTTCCTCCGGGCTTCCACCACCCAGCTGAGGTAGAGAGCCTGCGGGCGAGGAGCATGCGTGCATTACAACTGCCCTACAGAGAGCAGCGAACCCTCAGCCCTCCGCATCCCTTCTGGGGACACCCCAGCACCCAGCTGAGCCCAGCAGCCATGGTGGGAAGGCCACAGGTCCCACCTTGCCCTCGGGAGCAGATGATGCCATCTTGCGGAGGCGCTCCTGCTCGCTGGGGTCCGAGGCGTACTGGGCCAGCTCATAGAGCACGTTGGTGCGGGGCGGGTTGGTGATGTCCAGGTAGTACGTGAGGGCTGTGCGGTAGGACGTGGGGCAGGGGAAGGGATGCTTCTTATTGGATTCCTCTGGAGAGGAGGCAGAGAAAAAGGAACTGAAGTCAGCATCTGTTATGCCAGATTTCATGGCAGCAGATACATACAGTGGATGAGAGCTGGAGATAGAGCAGGGGACAAGCTTCAGGGAGGAGAGAGCAGCTCTGGGGCTCAATCAGCCTGTTGGCCAAAGCCCTGCTCCCACACTAAAGCAGCTCCAGCACTGGGCAGCTCCATCTCCCAGTAGCCCGCTTTGTGTTCCACAGATGCTGCCTGGCAGCTTATCAGCCAGACAATATACTCTGTGCTCCACCAAGTGGGGCTCTCTGCCCCGAGATACCCATACACCGAAGCACCCAATACACTCCAGACCAAGCAGGGTGCCTGCTCTCCACAGCTAATTTGGCCTCACACATTTATGTCTCATTCAGATCTGGCCTCCAAAGTGTTCTCAGTCTCCTCTGGCCACGGACAGTTGTGCTCGGAGCCCCCTTGGGAAAGGTAAGCACCAGCAGACAAGACTGGAGCTATCCAGTTCCACAAATCAAGAGGTCCAGAAGGGACAGGAATGACAGTGTGAGGCCAGACAATATGCACAGGGGGCCACACGCCCTGGCACTGCATTAAAACCTCTCTTGAACCCAGGAGCTCTCTTAGGCTTCTCGGGTGGCCGCATCTGATGCCCCAGGTCAGGCTGCGCTGGTTCAGGAGCAGCAGCTGCCATCTCCCTCCTGCCAGAGGCCAGCTCTGCTGGGAGCACAGCCCAAGAAGAGCTCTTTGTATCAGCACAAGTGCTCCCTGCTGGCAGCTCAGTCCCCGAGCCTGTGCCTCCTCCAAGGGCTGAATAACAGCGTCTCAGACACTAAGGCCCCTGTCGAGCTCCGGGGCTGCTGCGGCAGAGGGATGCTCTGGTGGGCTGATGCTCTGTAATTAGGAGTGTGATGTTGCATAATGTGTTGTTGAATGGCACACAAGTGCATTTCACAACTGACCCACTTCAGCTGGCTCTCAGCAAGCAGGCTCTGTGCCACTGTTAAAATGCCATGGCATTCCGAGTGGCAACGGGACATCTCTGTTTGTCTGGAGGTTCCTTATGGGACTTGCAGGTGACCTGAGGCCATTCAGGGTGATCCATACTCACCATCCAAATTGTTCAGGGACATGATCGTGTCCAGATTCGTGCCCAGGATCTCACCAATCTGATTCACCAGAGAGGAGTCGTTGGCTGGGTACACAGCCACATGGTCCCCGGATTCATACCTGGCAGGAGAGCAGGAGGAGAGCAGATGAAACTCTGCTTCCCATCCACCCCAACCTGCTCAGCTCGAAGATAAGCGTGTTGGTACAAGGGGCAGGAGGACAACACCAAGATCTGAGCTGCTACACAATGCCTCCACAACCAGGGATCCCAATGAGCCACCAGCAACAGCAGAAAGGACCGTTGTGGAATAATGATTTTAAGAACCAGGGCTTTTACAAGGGACCTCCAAGATAACAGCAGTTTTGCTACAGATTTCAGCAAGGTCAGACTTGCAGCAAGCACAGGCCAACTCCTTGACAGGCAAGGAGCAAAGCAGCTCACAACCTCTGCAGTGCAAGAGCTGGGAGCATGTGGGGTACCCGATAGGTGGTACAGAAGCCCAGAGGGGCAGCATTAAGTCATTATGACCACAAGGTCCCCTCCTGAAGCACTGCATGAGGCCAGCGCCACATCCTTGTTCCTTGCTCCTGATGCGGACTGCTCCTGCCAACACAGAGGAACAGTCTCCCATGGGAAACTACCTGATTTTGGAATTGGAGATGTCCAGCTCCAGGTGCATGAGGTGCCGCTCTCCACCCTCGTTCAGCTTGCGGTTCTCCGTCACCTGGGCCAGGAAGGGGTTCTTGGCATCAAACGGCCTGGAAGGGAAGACAAGCACCCCCTGAGTCACCCTCCTGCAGGCTCCCAGTGCTGGCTGCATCCAGACACGTGCCCTCTGCCCCCAGAGCAGGCTCCCAGCACAAGGGCTGTCCTGGTTCGTGTTCCAAAGCACAGAACCATGCTCCTGCTGTTACCCACAACAGCACAGAAACAGATCACTTTTCTTCTCAGCACAGCTCAGCAGCCCATTAAAAACACAAGACAAAAGTGGGTCTTGAGGGACTCTCACATCTCAAAGAAATACTTCAGGTTGGCATTAATTTATACAGCTCATCTCCCCACAGCAACAGGGCAAGCACCCATCGTGCATTAGCTACCCCAGGTGAGGAAAGGCTCTGAGTGACCCCAGATGGTCATTTGTACCACCCAAACAGCACACGTGAACACAACCATCTTCCCACAACTTATGGTTCAGAACTGGGGAACCTGAGAGTCCCAGTGAAGATATGAGCCCCTTTCTCTTGGGCAGAGACCTGCCCCATGGCTGCATTGCAGAAATGACCCTGGAACATCAAGGATCCATCAGTTGATCCTGCCCCATATACACCCTGCCCTGGGTGGGTTGGCACTTACGGCTTCTGGTTTTCATAGCTCTTGAGACGACCCATCTCCCCAGTGTAGACCTTGTTCATGTTCACATCAGTGTGCACCACCAGCTCATACTGCCGGATGCTGGAGGAGGAAGGGGGCAAGAGAAGAAAGTCAAGCTGGAAATCACAAGGTACAGCTGGAACCAGCAACTGCTCCACTGGATTTGCTGCAGTTCAAAACCAAACGCAACTTCCACCCCTTTGCCCCCCTCCAGACCTAAGGGATCAGGCAGACTGTGCAGAAAGCCCAAACCAAGAGGAAACTCGGCTGCCCTGGGAGTACCACAACCCAGCAAAGCCATCCACAAAGGAACCAAACCCATCACGGCCCCATTCAGACCTGAAATCCAGAGCTGGGTTCACACTCACACTCGCTCCAAACAGCCCCACTCACTGCCCCACTTCACAAGTGCCCTCTCAAGTCTGGAGAGGGAACAGCAGCTCAGGGCTGGTGGCACAGCCACAGTCAGAGGTGGCCAATCTCTCTGGCACTCAGAAGAATCTGCTCCCATACCCACCTGGACTCTTCTCCCGTAGCCTCCACGCCAAAGTGCTCGCACACCGCTGGCCAGAACTGCTCTCTCCAGGTGATGAAGTCTTCTTCCAGGCTAGCCAGGGCAAAAGAATGATTCAATAACCTGGATTTCTTCCCTTCACCATGGGAAAAGGCATTTGTCCCTGGACCCAGGCAGTCTGGTACCTCCCCGTGCCCACAGATCACCAGGAGAACACCCTCAGGTAACTCGGGTGGGAGGGAACTGTTGCTATACCAGCCACCCCTCCCTTCACCTACTGTACCAAGGAAGGCTTTGTGATCCAGGTTCAGTCTTTAACTCCCCCTTGCCCACTGCTGGCACCAGGTCACCCTCCTAGAGGCAGGTTCCACCAAGGCAATGCTTATTTCTCTATGCTGAGCCTCTCACACACAGCACATCCCTCCACCAGATCTTGCTGCCCTTGGAGGTGAGGCCACAGGATGATGTGATTTCCCAGGTTAAGCTGCTACCCACAGGGTACACACAGAGAAAAAAAACATTGTCCAGGGTGGAAAGTTGCTGCCTTTCACCATAAAACCAACAGTCCACAAGGAAATAGTCTGCCTCCTCCACAGGCATGGATGAGTTTATCCACGCAGGCTGGGTTAGCAACAGAGCTGCAGCAGCGCAAAGCAGACTGCAAAGCCTGCTCAGGTATGCAACTATGGTCATTTCATGTGATGTGGGATTTTCCAGACACAGGATCCCCCGGGATACTCTAAGTGTACAGGGATCTGATTGTGGGTGAGAGCAGACACAAACTCAGAGGCACGTCAGCTCCCACAGCTATCCTTATGGAGCTTATTGCTGTCTTAGCAGTAGAGCTAACTCCCTGCTAAGGTTCCTTCCAAGATGCTTTAGCATTCCAAGACAAGCTACTCACTTGCCATCATCATCTCCCAGCCCAAGTTCGAAGATACGTTGGGCTCCAAGCTCTTCCAGTCTCTTATCCACATACTTCCCCATCGCATTGAAGTGCTCATAAGTCTTGTTCCCCAGCCCAAAGACCTGGAAGGGAACACTGGTGAGCATGGAGAAGCAGAGGCTGGACTTTTCCCATCCCATCTGAGCAGTATCACCCAGCAAAGGATGTTGAAGACAGACAGCAAGACCTCTCCCAGCTCCCCATCAGCTCTTTGTGGACCTTGAGGAACAATCTGCCACTGGAGAGTGGTCAGTAGGCACCACCACCTCAGGCATGTCAAGAGGATGCACATATAAAAGCTGCCTGCACCATCTCCTCAAGGGACCAGTAAGAACCTGGACTGCCTGGAGACCAATTGCTGTCCCTTGCCTCCCACAAAGAGCCCAGGAAATGCTTGCTCACCGCTTTATACAGAGCAGCTTAATACCTCCAGCAGTGGATATTCTCCTCACTTGCACTTATTGTGCTGCCTAAGGAATTTGGCTGGGGTTTAGGTGAGGTGGCTGCAACTCAGCCAATTATTCAGCATGGGACAAGAGCTACACACTCCACCAAGTGACTTAATTTGTGGGAGGATCTGGCCCAGGACTGCTCAATCAGCTTCTGAACAGCAGCAGCAGCCTGTAACTCATTTAAAGACCGTGTATTCAAGGCCTGCTGCCTGTTTGTGGCAAGACATTACCAGCAAACCCTTGTGATTTAGGGAGTGCAGAGAGTACTCTGATATCTGCATTTAAAGCCCCCAGATATGTGTTTGCAAGTGTCCATGAACAGGGACTGCATCTGACACAGGCATAGACATCATGTTGTGCCTTTAGCCAAGCCATATGTGCAGGCACAGTGGAGGGTTTCTTTGTTACCCAAATGCAACATAAACTGGAATGGAGCCACTTACTGCAAACCGGAGACCGGACAAGTCAGCATCAGCCTCCTGCAGCCAGTCGTAGAAGTCCTGGGCATTGTCTGTGGGGTCCCCCTCCCCATACGTGGCCATGCAGAACACAGCTAAAGACTTGTCGATCTCAGAGAGGCGACTCAGGTCCGACTACAACCAGAGGAAAGAATAAACCCTCAAGGATCCTGCAGTGTGGCTGTTGGGCAAGCCTGTTCCTACTGTACAGCCCTGGTGTGCAGAACAGCACCATGCAATGACAAACAGCTGCTTACAAATGGGGTTAGGAAAGGCTGAAGCCACCCAAAGTGGCAGGGGAAATAAAGGTAAGCACCCTCACTGACTGCAAGCCAATGCTTCTACCCTAACAGAAAAACACCAAGGTATTTTCCACACAAAGCTTTAAGGAGTTGTTCACAACCAAGATCGTCGTTCACCCTGGAGAACACCACGATGCCAATGCCTCTGTCCAAGACTGCAACAGTATGGGGATCAGTGCTAACTACAGAAGGAATACAGAGCAGGTTTCATGCTGCCAGTGGCTGACTCAACTCCCAAACACTTCAGGTTACCTTCTTCTTTCAGACATGTTGCAGCATCCAGTCCAAATCCAAGCCCACCTCTGCATGCCTCAGGCTGACCTTTTCTTCCCTAAATGACACCACTAAAAGGGCAGCTGTCCCTTGGTCGGGCTCCTTCTGGGTTTTTAGGGGACACTAAAAGGATGTTGTCTATGCTGAGGCTGTTCATGGTTCAATTACCAAGTCATACTCCTCTGGATCTGCTGCCATGCCCCGGAGGCCGTAGCGATGAGCATCTTTGGAGAGACGATTGGCAAACTCCTCTGCTGTACCCGTCTGGGAACCATAGAAAACCACTATGTTCCGCCCCTGGAGAGAAGGAGAAATCCCTGTTAAATGGTGATTATTCATTTAGCAAATGCATGGATGGACACACCTTAGAGGCAAAGGAAACACCTAGGATCAGGAGCCCTGGACTGCAACCTAAAGGCAACCAGGAGCCTGCCCTTGTGCAGGACTCCACGCTGGGTTTGTGGCACGAAACTACAAGTGTCATTAAGAACATGACTCTTGTCAATCTCAGAGAGGCGACTCAGATTAGACTAAAAGCCAAAGTAAAGAATAAACCCTCAAGATTCACCCTCAGCCTCAAGGCTGTAGCGTGACTCCTGTCACAGGGAACTCCCTGGATGAGAAAGCAGGCTCTGGCAAAGTGCCTGAGCACCGGAGCTCCTGCTCTACCACAGGCCAGCTACTTTGAAGTGAAACAGGAAATATATCCAGCCCTTGCTTCTTCCTCTGCTTCCTCTTGTGTCCAGTCCAGCGCAGCCAAAAGCTGCCAGTTCTGTGTACAACTCCCATTCCAGAGTGAGCCAGTTTGGGAACCAACCACGCACATGAACAACTGCCAAGCAATGACTTTAAAGTCTCTGCCATTTCCCTCCTGACTTTGATCTCATGTTACTCTCTTTTTGCACCAAAACTTCGCTTCAATTCTGGATGCATGTGTCTGCATCCAAACCAGTCCCCTCTGCTGACAGCCAGGCAGCCTCCAGAGCACACCAGGAAGGACACGAGCTCCCTTGCCTTCCCAGCACCCTATGTAGCCAGAGCAAGCAGCTTACCGTCTTCTTCATCTTCTCAACGAAGCTGCTGTCTCTCACTGGAGCTGCTCTGGAAGACAGAAGGAACATCCTCTCAGATGAACGTGTTCACTCTTTAAGGTCAGGAACAAGCAATTGAAGTGGCCCCAGAATCTCAGGGCAACTGCCCAAAGGGGGTAAGAGTGCCCACTGACCACTGTCGTGTACCCAGGAACGTCCATCACTCAGCTGTGGAGCTTCTTCACACACAACCATGGAGCAGGGTCTGAGAGCAGAGGGGGAAGCTGGGCCCCTGCCCTACCTCCATCAGTAAATCCTCCCACAGGCAAAGCCTCAGCCCTGGGTGTCAGGAAACCTTTCCTCTATCAGCTGCTCAGAGGTTTCACAGCTGAGCAGGTTACAAGGACCTCACAGAGCTACGATGCATGAGCAGGTCTCCAAACAAATCTCAGGGGGGAAGGCACAGTGGGAGAGAAGGGAATGGAGAGCTCCCTGCTTCCCTCACCACAGCAGCTCAGTCCTGAGCCATACCTCCCAGGGCAGATTCCCCAAGCTTGAAGTCAGGCAGGGCTAAAATCCAGCTGTTCCCACCTCAAAACCACACGCCAGACACAAGTCCCAGAGCTGGAGAGCCCTGTGGAGCAACGGACACAGCTCATCAGACCCACAGAGCCTCCAGCAAGGGAACCACTGTCTGCTGAGGTCCTGTAGGGCTTGTTCCCACGCCGGGGTTTCCATTCCCAGCATGGATCTCCAGCACAAAGTGTTTGCTTTATTGCATGGAGGCAGCTTTCTCCAGCTTGGAAGGACAACCCACAGCAGCATCAGAAACAGCGAGGCAGAGATGCACACTGCTATGGCTGCTCCGTTAGGTAGGGAGCCAGGAGAGCTTTGCTACCCTCAGCACACCCATGGGTTTTCAGAGCCATGGGGTGAAAGCAACCCAGCTCCAGGGAGCTTCACAGGCAGACGTGGCTCTAGCTACAGTCAGATTAGGTACTGGGGTCTTTTCAAGGCAGGAGGACAAGTGCCAGGAGCTCACTTGCTGTCTTTCCCCCGCTACTGAAGCTCCAGCAGGGATAGGAGGAACGTGGGACCAGTTCCCGTTTCTCTTTCACAATGGAAGAATGCAAGGCTGGGTCTCCTGTGGGAAGAGAGAAGCCTCCAGGCAAAAAACAAATGGGTTTGGCTCAAGCTCATGTGAGAATGTGCAGAGCTCACTAACAGCTTCCTAAACTCTGCAGCCCAGAGGGAGGGAGCGCTGTGGATGTGCAGAGACATTTGCAGAGCACACGGGCAGAGCAGCAGGGTGGGTGACACTGTGAAGAGTACCTTCAAGCACCCCCTTTCACCCAAAGGGATCCAGGAGCTCCATAACCAGGCCATGACAGCTCCAAGCACCAAAAGTCTCATACAACATGCATGGAAGATGAGCAGACCTACCCAAAAAATTATCCAAGGCAGACGTGCTCCCAGGAGAGCACTGCTTTGCACCCTCCACTTTGCTCTCTCTGAAGTTAACAGTCTCCCCACACTGTCATTTATCCCCTGTTGGGAACAGGGATATCACAAGCATCTTGAGAGCAGCCCCAACACTGTCAGTGCTACCACTGGGATGAGGGTTTGGCAGAGCTGCCCCCCAGCCCGCTCACAAGACTCAGTTCTCACTTCCCTTTTGGCTCCGCAGTGAACAACTTTGGTTTACTGCCCTCTGCAAACGGGATCCAATTAAAACCACTGTTGGGACAACTGCTAAACAACATGCTTTTAAAGGAGGGGAAAGAAGAAGTATTCAATCCTTTCAGCACGCTCCCTTTGGAGGAGAAAAGGGTGCAGCACACAGAGCTGGTCCGTTCTCAAAGGAGCAACCCTGCACTGAAGTGTTGTGGTGTGGAACAGTCTGTGGCTCAGACACAGAAGAAACAACGAGTCTGGCTTTTGTAAAAGGCTACACAAGCCCCTAGAATTGCTTCATCAGGGTGGCTTGAAAATCTGAGCTGCAGAAACACACCGATGCCAAAGGCACAAATGACACTCAGACAGGAAAACTCAACTGTGTTTTCAGCAACGACTGCTCTGACAGCTTAGATAGCTCAGGGTAGCGACTGAGAGAGTTAAAAGAAGTGAAGGGTGGAGGAAAGGGGATTAACTCCATTGTCAGATCGAGTCTTTAGCTTGTACAGGTTGCCCACCCTTGGTGAGAGCCCACAGCACAGGGCTGGCTGACACTGACTGCAGGAGAAAGAAAGGAGGGATGGAAGTTCCCAACAGCTTAGCAACAACATGAAAGTCTGTCTCAGCTGAACACCTCTCCTTCAGAGAGCTCCCATGCCCGTGGCTTTCCTCCTGAAAACACACGGACATCCAGAAGTGAGAACACAGCCTGGGCATCACACAGAAACCGAGCACCAACAGCAGGGGCTAGCAGAGCCTCTCTCCTTCCTTCTCCTCTTGCCCCTGGAGGGAGCAGCACCCCACTCCTCCCAGCTTTGGGGTGGGAAGAGCGACCCTCCGAGCCGGAATGATCCCACCTGCCCATGGGGCAGTAACTCACCTCACCACAGCAGCCTCTTCTCGTGGGGCCGAGTACACGCAGCCCATGGCCGGGGCAGGGAAGACGCAGACAAAGAGTCGCAGGGCAGCCGTGTCAGGGGAGGTGTGGGGGGACGGATCTAACTTAGCTCTGGAGCAACACACGCACAGGCCTCCCCATTCTGCTCCTCCTGGGCACTAAAGCCAAGTGTCAGCCTTTTGTTAAGGAGAAGAGAGCCGGCACAAAAGGTCCCGGCATGGGTCATAGCAGGAGTGGTCCCGTCCGCTCAGATCCTCGTGGTGGGGCTCTGGAAGTTACCGAGTGGATCCACACAGCCCTGAGAAACTCCAACATCTGGCAGCAGTGGCAGAAAGGAATTAGGAGTGGAGAATGAAACCTCCCAGGATGCTCCGCAGCACACGTCCCTCTCCCATCCGCACGGAGCAGGGGGACGGGACACAAAACCCTCCCCCTGCCTCGTTCCCTTGGAAACTGTTTATATCACAGCTGCTTTTAGATATATTCTGGTTTTAAAAGAAAGGAAAGGCGACGCTGTGGCTGAATGAAGTGATTCCAGACACTGCGTGAGCAACGCAACGGGTAACTATGGCAGTGCCATTGCGGAGGCAGCTCAAAGGAGTCTGTTCTCTTCAGGAGCCTATTAAATTAAATTAGAGATGGTCTGTCTCTAACCCACACGCAGGCAGTGCAAAGAGCTAATCAGGCTGAGGAGCTGGAGCAATTCCTGCCACAGGAAGCCCTACAAGCACCAGAGAATGGATTGCTCTATAGCTGTGGAACAGAGATAAGCCAGTTTCTGCCCCGAACAATGTTAAGGGCAGGGGGAGAAGGGAAGGGTGACACCCAGCATACCAATGGCCTGTGTCCCCCCTGCCCGCACAACTCCAGAGCGGGCACATGAGAAAGGAGAGGAATCTGTGATTGAGAAACACACAGAGGAGGCAAAGAATAAAAGTAAAGCAGTGCATTCCCCAGCAATGCCCCCGTGAGGAACGTGGTGGCCATCGAGAGCTGTTCTCCCTAATGACATCTGCAGAGCAGGCTGCAGGGAGGCTCCTCCAGTGGTTTCAATTAAGCCTGAAAATGGCCACAACACGAGTAGTTCTCAGTTAGCAGCATCCCTGCCTGCCCCACTCACATGTACTACACAGCACAGGTACAGGACACCTCGTACATAGGAACATGTGCTGGACTCTGCCCCTTCTCTGTGTCACTGGGCAGAGCTGTAAGAGATCAGCAAGCACCTGAGCAGTGGCTGAACCCAGACAGGCACTGTCAGGGCAAGGTCAGTGCTGTTCCTGGGCCATGCAGAGCCAATCCAGCCCAGGTGCCAGACAGAATAGGGTATCGTGACCGCGAATCTATTCTTCTACAATCAAGAGCAGCTGCAGCAGCAGTATTTCCTTTGCAGACCCTGCTGAGATAATGTGGCTTGATCAAGACACGCTGCTCAGCAGCAGCTCCCAAAACCCCGGGAGAGCACTGAGTGTTCAGGTCAGAGGCTCTGCTTGCACTCCCCCACCTTGCAAGCAACCCCATCAAAGCAGCAGCCAACGTGATGTGTCTGAATTGCTGTTCAGCACTTCTGTCCTGCAGCCTTCCAGGGCTGAAGCTGAAGGTGGAGGCCAAAGAGACACATCAGAAACCATCACCCAGCACCATCAGATAGCCTGGGACAGTTTGAAGAGTCAAGGCAGAGCTGCAGAGAACGTGCTGAAGAAAAGCAACACCTCTTAAGGTTAAGGCTTTCCAATTGGAGAAAGCCACACCAAGGGGTCTTTGTTATCATGGGTCTGGAACTGTTTCCCTGCCTGCCCATGGACCAGCCTGCTCCAACCACAGTGCTATCCTGCATCTTGCCTATTTGCTTGTTCATCAGGAAGGACTCCACCCCAGACTCAAGGATGACAGGAGGGAAGGAAACCCAAAGCTGAACAAGCTTGTTTTCCCCACTTATTTCCCTCCTGGTTCGAAGTGTCCCATAAAACAACACTGCAAAAGCTGCAGGAAGTAGCTGTCTCTGCTCCAGAGGATGGATGTGCCACCAGCCACAGCCTCAGCTTATGGGTCCACGCTGCCCTCAGACCAGCTTGGTTCAACGACCACAGCAGCTCCACTTGGACAGAGGTGTTGCCCACAACTCTTGAGTTGCTCTTGCGAGGAGCAGTTGCAGAGTGCATCTTCCATGCAGATGGAGAAGGCAGCATGGACCTCAAGGAGGAAAGAGGCAAAATACCTGTGAGTCAGCTCAAAGCCAAAACCTCCAGGCAGCCTCAGGTGGAAGCCCATGAGAAGAGGTCCTGCAGCAGGACCAGATGGTAACACACACACGGGGGGAGTCAGAAAGCTTCTCTGCAGCACAACTTCTCTGCAAGGTCACGGCAGCCTCTGGAAGAGCTGCATGTGATGGGAGGTGGGTGGAAACAGGCTGAGGACGGTGAGCACAGGAGCTCTCCAAGTCACTGTGCCTTGTCAGGATCTAATTTCAGATGGATAGAGCCACTTCTCAGCTCTCAGCACAGCCATTCCAATCTCCAGAGGCAACCGCACGCACTGATACACACAGCCCTCTCCTGCAGGCTCAAGAGGGAAGGTATCCAACTGATCCAACACAACAAATTCCCAAGGTAAGGCTGAGCAGGCACAGAATACCAGCCTCGTGTGCACCCACCAGCACAGGGTCCTGCAGCCAGGGACATTTCTTCCTTTTCAAACCCTCCCAAGCCAGAAAAGGTACTTTCCATCCTCCTGTGACACCAGAGTGTGCAGCCTGCCTGGGAGTTAGTTGTGTGTTACTTCTCCTGCTACCCAGGGACTTCACAACAGACCTGGCTTCAGGGAGAGGGCTCTGCTGCCAGAGAGGGTCATGATCTGACCAGAGCAGAAACAATGAGGCCAAACCTGCTCCTTTCGAATTGTGACCTAAATTACAACACAAGCACTGGGTGATGAGCCCTGTAATCTGAAAGCAGCATGACCCACTGAGGTAGACATAGAGGTCTGAGATAACAGACCTCAGCTGCTTGCTGTGCTGGATTTATCTCCTACATACAGGGTAAGAGGAGCACCAGCCCCCTCCTAAAACGCGCCTTGGCTTCTCACCAAACATCCTCATGTGAGCAGCCTTGCCATTATAAAGCCAGAGGCTTGACCTTTGCTGTGTGGTTACCTTCTGCAAAGGCCTAATGCTGGAAAGCACAGAGCTGGGCTGAGGCTGGCTTCCTCTGGGGCAAACTGCACCCACACAGGAAGCAGCTCCCATGAGGCTGAAGGGAAAGGTACTGCACAACGCCAGCTCCTCCAGTCTCTGCTGCAGTGAGTTCCAAACCTTTTAGTGCTCTTACCAACGCTCCAGGAGGAAACAGAAGGAAGGAGCTAAAAAGTCCAGCAGAAAACTGATGTTAAGTTTGGTATGTGACAGAGACAAGGAACCAAATGCACCCAGATCTCCACCAATACGGCTCACTCCTGGCCCTAAGCCCTTTGCAGGAGACAGGAACTCTCTCTCTCTATCCAAATGCAGTCTCCTGCTGCTCCAGTAACCTGGCATCTGAGCCAAGCAAGTTCCACAAGAGCTGCCAAGCAGCTCATGCCCAGGAACTATCTCCCAGCTCCCCAAGACTATTTCTTCTCTTCATAGCTAAGGGTAGATAACATTCCCGATAGGAAATCCGCATAAGAGGAAGTCCACCTTTCTCCAGATTTATCTAAATATGACTTTTATCGGAAGACACAGAACAGCCAAAGCAATCTTCTAGTGTTTGAAGTACAGCCAGAAGCTCTTCTGCCTTGCCTTGCTTGGGAAAGGCACGTTACTGAGTTGGGCCACACGGTGGGGTAAGGCAGAACCGCTCCTCCACAGGGATTTCTGCCTTGAGAGGTGAAAACAGTGCTCAGGAGGAATGTGTGGGGACAGAAACACTGGGGCACCTCCTCTAACCCATCTGAGCCTCCTGCACAGCCTCCAAGGCCTCACCACGAAGCCAGACAGCTACATTCACCCCGTGCTGCCTGGGGGTTGTTACTTACACTGTCTGTATCTTGGGCAGCTCTGGGACTTCCTCCTTTTTCTTGCGGAAGAACAGCCAGTAGGTGAGCAGCCCGGTGATGAGGGAGATGAGGAACACGTCTGTCATGCTGAAGAGAGAGTCCTGCTGCGCGGTGCTGTCAGGAGGGGAGATGTTAGGTCCCGTGCTGGCATCCCCCATGATGGTCAAGGCACTGTAAGCAAGGAAACCCAAATGAACACCAGTGACACACTACCACAGATCACAAGAGCATGAAGGGTCATTCAGAGCATGCTTTTTCACTGTACATTTAGTCCTAGGAGTGCGAGGAAGCTCAACAACTCTTGGGTGAGAGGCTTTGCACCACAATACTGTGAGATCTTTCTGCATCCCAAGCTATGTCACTGTCCCACCAAGGTCTTCCCTTCCCAGTGCATCCATGTGGACCCACCAGGAGTGACTTCTGCCTTCCCTGGGCCAGCAGCCCCACACTGCAGCCAGGGAGCCCAACCTGGCTCCCACTAGTGCACCAGCAAAACTCAGTAGGGACTTAGAGCCAGCCATTACTAACCCCTTACTCAGCACAGAGCTCATGGGGTGTGAGTGGGGAAAGACCCCACTCTTCCAGTCACCCCACACATCTGGGGCTTTCTCCTTTTCCACAGGGTGATACAATGCTCTGGACTTACTCCTGTGCTTATGAACTGCAGAGCAGGACAGCGGCATGGTACTTCTGTGAGCAACTTCTGTGAGCACTACAACATGAGCGATGAACAACTCTGATTTACCATCTACCTCCACATGCAGACTGGATTTACTATCTACCTCTTTTTGGGCCTCTGGCTTCCCAGTCCCCTCCGCTCTCTTCCCCAGTTTAACTTACACCTCCTTGAATTACTCCTTTCTACTTGCCAAGGCAGAGATGAAGTGACTTGTGGCCATACCCAGCCTGTGGCAGCACAAACCTGAGCACCCAGCCCTCAAGCTCTTGACTAGGCCTATGGCCCCTGTCCTTCCCCTGGGGAGCCACCCATCATTCCCTCCCTCCCACTGCTCTGCCAAAGCTTTGAACTCCTCTGACCCTCATCCAGATGGGAAGATTATCTTCCCGACGCACAAGGACGCACCGTGTCCAAGCAAACAGATAATTAACTCAAAGCTTGATTTGTAAGGGCAAAGTGACTCTCTTCTTGTACTTGGGCATCCAGCCAGCCCAGAAGACCATGGACATTTGAACTTGCACACAGGAAAGTGACTCAGAGCTCAGCGTGACTCCATCACCAGAGAAAAAGGACACGTCCCATGGCTGAGGGTAGAGTTAACCTCTTCAGCAAAGCTGGGCCTGCTGCAGAACAGCTCCCACACAACTTTCTGGGGGGGTGAAAGAGAAGCAGCAACCTCCAGGCTGTGCCTGTGCTGAGCAATAAACCTTACTGAAGTTTAAGGTGATGCTATCGTGCATTCCGGAGCTGGGGAGAAAAGGGAAGGTGATGCTTAGGGAGTCCTAATGGGGGAGAGCGGGTAAGGTCTTCAGCAAAGAACCACCCCTTCTTGTTACCCCGGCAGTGTCCAGCCCCAGAGAACACAAAGCACTCTGCCACAGGCCAGCAGCTATAGAAGGCAGCCCTGAGGAGCACAGGGAGAAAGGAGCTCACAACCACCTGCAGTGATCATGGGTGGGCTCCTGGTTACCTCTGCGACTCAACTAGTTCTCAACTTCACGAGAAGTGGAGAACTTGGCAAGTGACTGTACCACAAGGGGCATCAAAACCCTACTGCAAAGCTTCCCATTCGCTTCCCAGGGATGACACTAAGCAGGGGGTTAAAAGAAAAATGGGAGTGATGCAACTGCAGATGAGCAAATTGCCCATTCCTCTCCATCAGGTCACCCTGTCCTCCCTCCTTGCTTTCCATCGCTGCATCCCCGAGCCAAGCAAGAGCTGGGTGTTATTTCTGTACAACTGTAGACTAAACAGTTGTTAGTTAAAGCCTTCACAGCTGGAGCCTCATTGCCAAGAAGGCACAGCTCCCAGCAGGGTCTCTCTCCTCCTCCTTATTCACTTCCAGTAAATCACTAAGGAGCTGGTCCAGCAACTGACACCAAGGGAATGCACCAGTAGTGGGAAAAATATTGCTGGTTTATTGCCTTCACTCCTGGTTATAGTATTACAACAAGCAAGACTCCAGGAGTTTTAATTGCAAGCTCTTCTCCTCTTACTCCAAAGCTTTGCCCAAAGCTATGGGGAAAAAACCCTAGGCTGATGGAGCTCACACTAACCTGCTTTTCGGCAGGAGCTGCACACCCCTTCCCTTCCAAGCACCAAATCCAGCACTGGCAGCAGCAGAGCCCTAGGAAAGGCTCCTTGCACAGAGCACAGCAGCATCCCTTGTAGCAAACTGCACATGGAAGAGAGTTTCAAGCTTGACACATCTTTAGTGAGCAGCAGCCAGCCCGGGGTGGAAGGGGTACAGGCTGCATATGCCTGACCCCACAGCAAGTCCCTTACACAGCGTAAGAGAATTGAGTTCCTGGGCTCATCAGCAAAGCAAGGGCTACATCTCCCATCAGAAGTTCACTGCTATGCCCAAAGCAGCAGAGCTTCTGGGGACAAGCAGCAGCGAGGAGGGGGTTTGCTTTACAAGCCTCCAGAGGTGGGTCTGCCCTCCCAAGCAGCAATGCCTTGGAAAGAGGCATCCTTAGGAAAGCAGCTCCCAGGAATGCAGTGTGGACAGACAGGGGGAGGAAGCTGCTCTATCTCCTGGCCTTCACCACGCTGCAGCTCTCCAGCACTTCAAAGGGGAACCCTACAGCTTCCAGACCACCCGTGGCTCACTCCCCACAGCCGGAGGGAAGAGCACCACGTCTGCAGGCCTATGGGACTGGTGCCTGGACCAGAGTCTTGCCTTCTCTCTTCATCCACAAGTCTCCATAACATAAAGGCCATATACTAACCTCTAATCCTGAAAGGAAACAGTGATAGAACCAAAGACACAAGAACTGCTTTAGTTTTGATGATGGACTCCATCTGGTCCTGGATATTTAGTTATTCAAGTTCTATATCTGAGCTACAGGGTTTCTTTTTCTGCTTTCCCTTCATCATCCCCTGTAGCTACTGTCAGCTGGACAGTACTGGGAGTCCTGCAATCCCCACCCTCAGGAAGATGTTTGCTTAGATACAGCAGGAGAAAGGCAAAGGATATGGAATGACACCTCAAATCTCCTTTCGTAAAGGGCTGTCATAATGCAGGAACTATTGAACTCACTTCCCCTAGCACAGGAAGGTTATTCCTCAATTTATCTCACTCTTATCTAGTTGGCTGTAACAATCATATTCCAGAAGCTCACTGCAATTCAAATACACGTCCTTTTCTAGCTTCCAGTGAAAAGAATCCTGACTCTTACTGGGAATACAGCTACCCTGGAACTCCTGCAGCCCCTGATAGACTCGGATCAGCTTTCTAAAGGAGAAAAGAAACAACTGTACGATGCAGAAGTTCAAGTTCCTCAACACCAGTTTTAAGGGTAGTTATTTTATCCCCAGTGTTTATTACTCTTCAATCCAGATAAGACAGACTTCCGTTTCCTTTTTAAGTTATGGCTCCAGTTCTTGGACCCCTGCCGATGCAGTGTCTGGTGTAAAGCAATCAGTCTCTGATGAGGTAGGAGACTTCCGTGTCACACAGACAAGTCATAGAATCATAGAACGCTTTGGGTTGGAAAGGACCTTAAGTTCATCCAGTTCCAACCCGCTGCCATGGGCAGGGACACTTCACACTAAACCATGTCACCCAAGGCTCTGTCCAACCTGGCCTTGAATCCTGCCAGGGATGGAGCATTCACCACTTCTTTGGGCAACCCATTCCAGTGCCTCAGCACCCACATAGGGAAGAACTTCTTCCTTATATCTAACCTGAACTTCCCCTGTTTCAGTTTGAACCCATCACCCCTTGTCACAACACTGTGAAAGATCACAATCAAGCCACGCTGTATTTTAGCTCAGCTTTTCTCCCTCTGAATGCACCTTCTAGACATGTGAATTTGCTTGATATACAGCAGCTCACGATCATTCAAACCACCAGGGACCCTCCATGCTGCCAAATACAAGCACTCCCTTCTCATACTAAAAACATGTGTTCCTAATTCCCATGCCCATCTTTGAAGGCCTGGAAGCACTGTGAGTGCCAGGCATCCTCAAATCCCCCACCATTTCCATATAGCCTAAAGGTGCTGTCAGGTCTCAGGGTTAACAACATTACAATATAAATATAGTATGACAACAAACAAGACAGGATGAGGAGTGCCCCAACAGCCAAGTGGTCAGCAACATGAAGAGATCTATTCTTCCCCCTCTCTTGCACGCAGCTGACAGCAGCATCAGGAGATGGGGCAGCAGATACCCCCAAAAGCATGCTGGAGCACAGCATTGCTAGCACAAAACCTGTCTGGGAGGGCTCCCTTTCTGCCAGTCACATTATACTGACCAAACAGCATTGGCTCTGAAGCTAAGCTGGCCACCTGGGCAGGAAGTTGGTTCTTTGTGAGCTTGAAGTAGCCTCTGTATGTGATGTCTGTGATGAGTTTCACGTATCTCAGGACAATTTAACTTCCCAATTCCACACCAGGACTGCAACTCTTGCTCCAAAAGTGAATGACCAAGCTCTGCGCTTGACTCTCCTCTGCCCTGTGCCTTCGTAACCCTGCTCACATGAGAGGAAAGGAGAAGGAAGACTGCTGACCAAGCACAGTCAACGCTGCTCACTGCTCCCACCTCTGATAACTGATCCCCAGGCTCCAGCTGGTCACAGCCTGTAGCACCAAGAAGCTCCAGTGTTGAGCTGAGCAGGATCCCCACACGCAGAGATAAGCATGACTCTCACCGTGCCCTATGGACACTGACTGCCCTGGCACAGGGCAGCACAGAGGCTGCAGCCCCATGCCCCCTGCTCCTGAGCTTATCCAAACAGCCACAGTTTTCCCAACAGAAACCGAGTGGAACCAGCGCCCTTTGGACACCTGCAGATAAACGCAGGAGCACAGGCTCTATCTTGCAATATGTGCAGGGAAATATCTGTGATGAGCCAGTCAGAGGAGGCACTGGGTGACAAACCCACACACTGCCATTAGTCACCCTCTGTCCTGCACTTGCACTGCTGCCAGGCACCATTCAGAGGGAGCTGAGCAGGGCACTGGCAGCCAAGTT